ATCAACTCGAAATAAATTTGATCGCTTCGACTGGTAGCAGGTTGCATTATGTAGGAGGAACATCAAGAAGTTGCCTGAACTCTCAGTGAAGACAGGTGTAGCTACCGATGAAAAATTATATACATGGCTAAGTTCTCTAAACAAAAAATCAGAATTTCAAAAATTGGGATTGTTGTATGTCTTTCGTTGCCAACTATTGAAAAAGACGAAATATAAATACAAATACAATTATAGATTAAAATGTAGATATAGATATGCATAGTACTTAGGTACTTACTTAGTAGTAATATTTATATATTGGTAATACAATAAGAAGACATGTAATATCGTTCTGGAATTGGAAATAAGTTTCTGAAAACTGATTTATAAGGCGATGTCTCACTTACTCTTTTTACTTTTGGTACTAAGCAAAGTATTGTCAGCCTTGGTTCCACAAAGTAATGATATAGAATATATTAATAAATCTCATTCTTCTTATTAGTATCAAAGTCCGTAAAGTAAAAGAAAATTTAGAAGGTTTTTTGCCTTCCTAGTTATTCAAAAGAAATGGTCATCTGTACAGAAGTGATGTTAATAGTAAACTTGAACAATGCGATTTGATTCTGAAAATATGAAGAGCCTTGGTAAAACGAAAAAATACTTTGATCATATTCATAACTTGTGAAATAGCCAGACAAAGTACTAACTAAGGAAATGCGATAGGAAAATTATTATATTTTCATTGCGATAACTAGCTCACTCATGCGTAGTTACAGTACGTTAAGGTATCAGAGCGCAAATTCAGATAAGACCAATAATATGAGATGAGTCTCAAGTGTTCTGGCAGTTTTTTTTAATTTGCGTAGTTTGACCTAGTATCCCTATTTGTTGAATAGAATTCGACAATAACGTAATGTAAAACCTTGTATATCAACGCCAAGGAAGTTTCGTGGTTCCATGTCTCCATGGGTTTTCGTGGATTGTACTTTTCAAAAGCATTCTTGCATAATAATTTTCTTATTGCGTCTTCAAAAGAAGATTTTCTTTCAAATCGACGAGGTTCAACATTCCATACCCTATTGATAGATAGTGATTTTGTAAAGATAGGCAAGGATCACTCAAGAGGGACCAATATTTGTAACATACATTGCGATTAGCGCAAATTTGTCCTCACCAATTAGTGACAGGCCGTGTGCGTTTGATACAGCGACCGCAAATCAAATTCGAACAAAAATTCGACCTCACTGCATATGAGCGACGTTGCGCTTAACAGCAAATGAGGCAGAACAAAAATTGAAAACTTTGCGAACGTTGAACTTTTGCAGCAGTGAGTTCTGGATCAGGTTACACTAAGTTAGCCTTCATAAATTTTTAAAATTAGAATTTATGAAAAGCGACTGCCAAAGCAGCAAAGAACAAAGATGGTTGTTCTTTTTCTTACCTTCAATTATTGTATCGCACATCCTCTCTGTCCTGACGTTCGTGAGTGGGATTCATAACACTAAGCACTAAGTAGCATAGTTCTGTTTCTTAATATTAGGTTCCAAAAAGTTCGTACTGTTTGCTTCATTAATAAAGCTTTCAGACGTTCGCTGTAATGCCACCCAGTGAGAAACTTGGATTTACGACAATCATATTACCTACAGATAGCGGCACGTGAAAACGCAAATGACTACAGCTATTTACCCAGGAGAAAATATTAAGTTACAGGCACAAACATCAATGTAGCCGCTGCAGTTTTCAATATGGCTTCTCTGCGAGAGGAGTTTCTTCTATTTAAAGACCCAACGATCAATTCTTCCACCTCATAACGAAATAGGTTATAGATAAACAGATCATCGGTAGCGTTTCATTAAAAATTGACATTAGCTCTATCACTAAAATATCTTCTAATTCCAGACGCTTTTGAGACAGGGCTCAGCTGCCTGATTCGTTGGAGATAAAAACACGTTGTAGCTTGTGGTTTGCTCGAATATAAAGCAACATCTGCAAAAACCTATAAACACATAAAGGCGGATTTCCTTAGATGAGATTTTGAGCGAACTTAAGTGAAATTTGACTAAATTTTTTGTCTATGATGCATTCAACTATGCATCTACTTAAAGAGTAGGGAGAAAACGTAAATAGACAAAATAGAAAACATAGTAAAATCCTAAAACAAAGCCACAACAAAC